GAATGAATTAATTAATGTACTAACGAAATAAACGAGAATACCAGTGGTAGTACCTGCTTTGCCACAATGCAGCATTTTGATATTGGGCAGTTACCAAGCATGGGGCTTCACCGGTGCCTCAGAGGTAAAGAATCTGGCTGCAATGCAGGTGCTGCAGGAGACACGAGTTTGATCCCTGGGTCGGAAAGATCCCCTGGAGGAGGGCATGGCAACCCACTCCAGTATTCTTGCCTGGAGAATCCCATAGACAGAGGAGCCTGGCAGGCTACAGTCCATAGAGTCACAAAGAGTCGGACACGACTAAAGTGACTTAGCACGCATGCATTAGCAAGCTACAATTTTCTTGTGTCTGTAAAATGGCAATAATAAAAGCACCTACCTTTTGGGACAATGTTTAAAACAATTTAAAAAGTTACAGCAATCAGCAAGAGCTAGCGTTCAATTAATGTTAGCTACTATTAGCAATCTGCACTATGGGTGCTATCCATAAAATAGGGGCAATAATTTCTGCTCTGCTTACATCACAAGGCCATTTGTGAAGCCAGCAAGAGTTAACGTTTGACTCTATAAAAGCTTATTATTATTGTTGTTGTTATTATTTGGCTGTCCTGCGGTTTTTGGGATCTTGGTTCCCCCACCAGGGATTGAACCTGAGCCAGGACAGAGAAAGCAGCGAGTCTTAACCCACTGGATCGCCAGGCAATTCTCCAAAGCTTATTAATATTTTAATTGCTCTGGACTTCACCACGTAATGCATCCACTCTCTTCATCCTCCGGCAGGGTTATTTAAATGAAAACACATCTTTAAAGGGACCCAGTACTCCCTTTGTCAGTCCAGTCCGCTCCAACCAATGGTACTCGAAACCACGCCCCATTGGGAAGTCTATTAGCCTCAGAGTTCACTTTGAAAATATCCAGCCCGCCCCTCCTTGCTAGGCTGGCGCAAGTCTCAACGGCACGCTGATTGGCCCGTGCTGGCCAATCACCACTGCTCTTGCTCCTGGGCTGTACTTTTCAAAATTCGCTTGGATAAATTGAGATGGACGCCGGTTGCTGCAACGCGGAGCATTGCGGTCATTTCCCTGGCCTCAGCTGGCCTAAGAGTGCGTCCGTGATCTTTCCTGTTCTGCCCAATCTCGATATGAGGTAGGCGCCTTTGAACTTGTACTACTTACTCGAATGTCCGGCTCTGTCGCCCGCGGGTGGGTCCTTGAGGCTCACTCCAGTCCCTGTAACTTTTTTGTCTGAATGCGTCTTGCCACGAAACTTTTGCTTTCTCCTGTCAGTCAGCAGCCTGCGGAGAGAGTCCTGTCCGAGGTTGGGTAGGGAGTGTGTATTAGAGGGTGAGATGGCAAAACAAACAAAACCCAAACTGGTTCCCGGCTTTTAAATGGAGCTGCGCATCCCTGAATCAGAGTACATTTCTGTAGTCTTTTCACAAGTGAAGCTGTACAAGATCAATTTAACCTACAAAACGTACTTAAGTTAGAGAATGCAACGTGAGGGATATCTTAAAGTACAGGTTGAAGGATATGAAGGGGGATGGAAACGTGTCTTTTCTCCCTTGTTTCCAGTCAGTCCGTCAGCTGTGTGCTCAGTCGTGTCCGACTCTTTGCGACCCCATGGACTATAGCCCGCCAGGCTCCTCTATCCGTGTAATTTTCCACGCAAGAATACTGGAGTGGGTTGCCATTTCCTCCTCTCGGTGATCTTCCCCACCCAGGGATCGAACCCAAGTCTCTTGTGTCTCCTGCATTGGCAGGCGAGTGCCTTACCACCGCGCCACCTGGGAAACACCTTTGTCTCCACTAGCTAGTGATAGAAGAGAGTTAGTGAGACTTAAGATTTTCACCTTCAGTCCCATCCAGCTCTGGCTTTGTCATGGCTCTCTGCTGTGGTCCTCCTGGAATCCTAGAATGTCACAGGTTGAAGGGATCCAAGAACAATGCTTCTTAAACTTTAAAGTGCATACAAATCACCAGGGGAAGTTAACTTCCACTTTCAGATTTGGTAAAGCCTAACTTGGCGAGTGAGATTTTAAATTGCTAACAAGCTCCCAGGTGATGCCAATATTTCTGGCCCATTGACGATGGTTAAATGTCCAGGAGACTCTGGTCTCACTGTCTCATTTTCTTAGGTGAAGGAAGGAAGCCTGGAGAAGGAAAAGGGACCTGTCCAGTGTTACTCAGCCAGCTACGGACAGGATCAGAACTACACTTTAGGCATCCTCCCCAGCTTAGTGCTGCTTTCGTTGACATCATGCTGCTTTCTCTCCCCAGTGTCTTGCTGTCTGTAATCTGCCTTTGTATATAAAAAGAAGTTGCTACTGTTTCCTGAGACTGTTCTGATCTACAGTTTTGGACTTTGAGCAGTTGGGCTTCTGAACAAGCCAACTTGTTCCTGTGTGGGTTTCAACACCAGCCCTGGGATAGCCGGTGGAGCCTTTAACACTCATCAGTAGTGGAAAAGGAAAGTCTGGAAAGTGGAGAGGATTCTAATTTTCTTGTCTAAGTAAGGCTAAGGGTTCTGTAGGTAGTAGAAGTTGAGAGTGTTCTGCAGTGTCCTTTTATGAAAACATGCTTTTGGTGGTGTCAATCCCCTCCCCTCTCCTAGTGGCAGGAAAATTAGTTACTTAAGCCAGATTATTGTTCAGGATAATGAAAGTGATAAATGACCATCAGCTGAAAACTGATTTTCTCTGAGGTTTAGTCATGCTGTGACGTCATCAGCCAAAAGTTTTCTGGCCTGTTGACTCCAGTTTGATTTTTTTCTTTCCACTTGAAAGATAAAGATGTCAGAACCTGAGTCTTTGGTCATCCATAAAGAATTGTATGAGGTGTGAACAATAATAGTGGAGTGAGTGGTTTTCATACAGTCTAGTTAAGGCTGGGTTCACTCAATTTAGCTTTATTTCTGCTTGGCTGAGTTTTGAGGGATGAAATGGAAAATAGGTTTGGATTTGGAGGAAGAGAAGGAGAGTAAGATGCACCATTTATTCTGAGGACGTACCAGGTTAAGCTTTGCACGTGCAAATTTACATTTGAGCCATATGATATCTCTGCAAGTAAGAGGTGGTGCATGAGGAAACTGAGGCTTAAAGATGCTTAACTGGCTGATTTAGAAGCCCAATTACTTCTTTAAAAAGAAGTCTGTGGTCGTTCTAACTCCTCATTACTCCTCGTACTACCACTCTGTGGCCTTTCACTTTTTTCTGTGGGCTGTTTTGGAATCTTTTTCACATACAATCAGAGAGACATCATGGTATTTTAGAAAAGAGCCCTGGAAAGAGCTGGGTGATCTATGCTGCTTAATAGTTTGTCTTGTGTAGTAAATAACTTTTAACTCATCTGAGACTATGAAGTGGAAAGAATTATGCTTGCCCTGCTTACCCTCACAGCTTGGGGAGGATTAACTGACATAATAAATGTGAAAGCACTTATTTGTACTGACTTTTCCTCACCAACAAAATGTTTAATATTGTCCATCCAAAGCAAAACCCAAGTTAGCCTTTCTCTTTTCTTCAACCTTTCTCTCAAACTGCAGTCTTCTCTGCAGTCTTCACAGCATGGTCCCAGCCTAGCTCTCAGCCTCTTTCTAACTCCTCCCAGCACATTATACTTCACATTCCAGGCACCTTGGATGTTTCCAAACCTGCTGTGCTCTACAGGTTCAGTCCTCTGCCTGGGCTCTGGCTTTCTTTGCCTGGAAAGCTCACCTGTCTACTTGGGAACCTTTTTATCATATTAAGTCCAGATCAAATATAGTCTCCTCTTTGAAGCCTTCCTCCACCCCCTGTCTCCCACAAGATTACTGACTTTCCATTATGTTTCTAATGTGCTTTGTGTCTACTGTTAGTAAATCATTTGTCACATTTATATGTTGCTGTTAGAGCTGTGCCTGTGAATGCTTCTAGGATAAGATCCATGATTTATTTGTGTTTATCTCCATTGCCTGATGTATCTTGTACATAAATTTGTTGTATTGCCTTTAGGGTCTCTCTTAATGGAAGCCTGTTCTTTGTCAAATGTCATTGAACTTGGAGACTGAATATGGGTGGGTTCAGAAGGGCAGTTGTATCTGAGTGGGAAGGGTTTCTTTTATATTCAAGAACTGATTCCTCCTAATGTGCTTGTAAGACACTTAAGTGTATCATAACTTAAGTGTATCATAAGACACGTATCACAAGTTATGATTGTGAGTTCTTAGTTTAGTTTGAGAACTCACAAGCTAAAAGAACCTTAAGGAGTATAGAATGGGGTCCCACATTGAGGTGGGGTGAAGGTAGGACTCTCCTAAGTTCTGTAATGACTGTTAAATTTTTTATGTCAAATGATTTTCACCAAGTAAGTTCCTTCTGCTATTATCTTTTGTTTTTTTTTTTTTTCACCAGTATTATCTTTTGATTTGATTTTTTTTTTTTTTACCAGATGTCTGGAACTGGACTGCAGTTTCTTGATTGAATGCAGCCTAGAATACCCTCTGGCCTATTCTGCATGTGTGTGCATGCAGTGTATTCTTTCGCCTTCTCTGTAGCATCATCATTGCTGGGGCCAGGACCCCATGCCTTTTAAAGAACATTAACCCTACCAGTGAGCCTCCATACTATATGATGTGTCATGTTCTTGATTTTTCAACTGTTAATTTTCCTCTAGTGTTCCTAGGCCTAAGCTAGGGGCTAGGCCACAGTCCCAATACCCACAGAGGGTGGCAGGCACTGTGCTTGGCTTTTTACACAGAGTTATCTCATTTAATTTGAACAGTGCCCTGCAAAGATGCATATACTTACCTCCATCTTGCAGATGAGATAACTGAAGCCCAGGGAGGTTAAGTCACTTGCCCATGGTTAAATGTGGTACAACCAAGATTTGATCCCAGATCTGCTAACATCGAAGTCTGTTTTCTCCTAGGGATGTTATGGAGAGACTGGGTTTTCTCAAGGATCTCCAGAGAATCAGTGATGTTTCTGGTGAATGTTTTAAAGAGTCTTCTTCTGATTGCAGCCCTGCCTTGGATAGATGCTGCTGAATCTATAAGAAATGCCACTGCCACTACCACCCCAACACTCCAAACATGAGACGAGGAACTCTCAGTCCAGCATTGTACCCAGTGATCATGAACCATCTGAAAAGGTTAGAGCAAGCTGTCCCTCCCAGTAGTGTCTTATTTAGCCTCTTTTCTGTGTTGGCTTAGTCCCTATCCTCCCCTCTATATCTTTTGGAATATGTGTGGTTAATCTGAGAAAGTGAGAAGGCATGGCAAAGCTTGTAGTTGGAGGAGACCAGCAAATTATAACTTGGGGAGAAAGCATAAACTCTTCTTTCCCTTAAGTGCATGGCTAAGATGAAGGGTGTCCTCCACAACTTTCAAAAGCAAACAATACTCAGTTCTCATTAGTGATCCCATTTAAACTCTTATTTTCTCTGAGAGGCTCAAAGCACCTTGCCAGGTGGCTGCTTAGTACATCCTGGGGAGAGTATGATGATTAGGTCAACAAATGTATTATAATGCTTTTTACAGCTATTAAATTTGAAGAATGGGTCCATTTTGAGCCTGTTGTTTTGACCTTGTGAATAGTTTGACATTGACATTCCGAGCTTGTGATGTTCTGTGTTTGCCATCAGTCATATTTTAATCAGAATTTTACTAACACTGATGAATTGTTGCTAAGAAAGTGTTTCCTGGAGCAAACATCATTAGGCCAATTTAATTTCCTTGATTGGTTTTCTCTCAGCACAGATAAACTCTTTCTAATCATTTTCATTTTTGTCTCACTAAAATGGTTTTCTNTGTTTTGCTCATTTTAAGAGTTACACTGAAGGTTGTCCTGTCTCCTCACAGCCTTGTCACCATCATCAATGATTATTACCTCCTTCAGGGACTCTTAAGCAGCAGTGAGTGCCAAAACTTTCTTTTGTTGTAATTTATTAGGTTTTATTATAGGCATTCCCAATTGCTTGGCGATTCAGGCATTTCCTTGTTGAGCTCCAAAGATGACCTGAAGTCCCTGAAAAGACTGTTCACAATTGGATATACTCATTTGCCTCTTTTACTTTTGTAGAAAGATGAGAAGTACCAAGCAAAGATATCTCCATTTTCACCTCAGGGACCACTCAAAAAGAGATCAGCTTTTGAAGATCTCACCAATGTGAGTATGCTAGACTAATCCTATGGTGTTGCATAAGGTTCAAACAACCTCTTTCTTGAGGGACCTTTCTAGTTTACCAAGCCCTGACCCTCTGTAGAATGCTGAGAGCCAATTTTATTTACTGAGAGCCAATTCCAATTTTCTTTGGAATCAGTGACCCAATTTCAGAAACTGTAGGGGCTTTTCTGCTGGCACATACCATCTGTATTAATTGGTGGAGCTCTCTGAAAGCAGCAGACAGAATGATGACCAGATGTGAAATTGTAGATAGATATGAGAACTATGGAATCTTGCATTTAGGTAAAGTCCAGAGATGGCTCGACTGGCTGCCTTGGCCTTGGAGGCAAGTGTCAATACTATGGTGGATTCATTGTAGTCTAGGGCAGTGTTTATCAGTTCAGGCACTATGGGCATTTTTGAATAGGACAGCTTTTCTACTGTGTAGGACTGACTGCAACCAGCATTCCTGGCCCTTGGCATTAAGTTCCAGCAGCATCCCAGTCATATTGACAATCAAAACTGCCCTCTGATGTACAGAACCTTTGATGACCACAGTTCCATTATCAGTTTTCGACTAGGGATATCTAGAAACTCAACTGTGACTAGAATTCTTGAGTTTACTTCGAAGTTACCTCCCTTCTGGTATTATTAAGGTACTAGCCAAAAATCAAATTTAATAGTTAGAATGTTACTAATTGAATATAGGTAACCTTTGGTCTTAGAAATCAGTATTAACTGATACCTCCTGAGTGTTTACCACATGCCAGGCACTATTCTAAGCATTGTCCCATGTATCCACCCACTTAATACTCATAAAATGCTATGAGGCAGACACTAAAACTAGAACCCCTTTACAGATGAAGACTTGGCTAGTGTTGGTTTTGAAGACCGTTTTATCTAGGATACAGAGAACCCTAGTGAGGCCTGTCCTGCCCTCTATAATAGAGTGTCCTTTTGTGGCTACCAGAATTCTTACTTTTTCTAGATAATATTTTACTGCCTTGGGCAGGGTTGGATAAGCATTGGCAAAGTTATCTTCTTTATATCTCTGCTCTTTAGATGCCATGTGACCACTTTTGTGTTAAACCAGTCTTTCCCCCATGCAGATTACAACATGTGTAATTGTGTTACAGCTTCCTGCATAATCAGATTTACTATATACTGGTTGAAAGAGCTGCCGCCCACACAGACCTGTAAAGTTAGATTCATTTCCTGACTTATTTTACCATGGCTCTTGAAACTGTTGCGATAAGGTAGTTACATAAGTCAGGAGCAGATGCAGCCTATCTTGGTGTAGTTTCCCTTGGCCTCCAGAGTCCCTGATGGCAGTGCAAAGAAAAGTCTAACAGCATATGAGAAACTTCTCTGCTGTGTCTCAGTACTTTTTTATTTGTGAAATTTATGTCATCATCGATAAAGAACAAACAAATTAATAGGAAATACATGCTAGGACTCTCCTGGTTCTCCAACTGAATTCACCATCTGTTAGGTCACATACTCTAGGGGTAGGGAAAGCAAGGCATCCCTGGGAAGTATCTCTGCCTCTAGCTTTTCAGAAGCTCAGAAAGCCCATTTCCCCTTTTGCCTTCAAGTTCTGGTCATTTTGAATTGTCTTTGGTGCTTTCCAGAGAAAGTTCCGTCATTACAATATACCTAAGTCATTCCAGGATTGAACATTTCTGCAGATGTCTGAGCTCATCTCTTTGAGGGTTGAGGACTCCTTTCTCTCTGAATTTTGGGGATTCCCTTTATGATGATTTGCTCCTTCCTGTCAGTATTACTATGTCTTCATATCCCCATATCTGTCTTCTCCTCAGCATTCACCACAGTGAGGTTCTGGCTGGCCAAAGGAGCTGATCTGTTTTAGTTATTTAGTCTGCTATGAGTTCTCTTTTTTCCCTCTCCTTTATCCTTCCAGCATGGGAAGGACTTTTGATTTGTTAGAGCTGTTCCTGAGCCATTGGATGAGGAGATAAGGTCTATTTCCTAAATCATTTTTTGTCAGTAGGATTTTCATCTCTATTTTACTATTTCTCGGTGAAAGAATTATGGGGAAATACTGGTAAAGATCCCTTTGAGCTTAGATCTGAAAATATTAGTGCTTTGAACCTTCACATATAGCAAGTAGAAAGTTTCACTCTGGGAATTAGAGTCTCCACCTCTCTCCTGCCAAGAATGCACATCTTTTCCAATTGTGGATCTCGGCTGGACACAGAAGGAGTTTGTAAATCTTTAGGTGAAATTCAAATACAAACTGCCAAACTCTTTGAAGAGCAGAAGTGGACAACAACCTGAGGGCCTAAGAAAGAATTCTCTGCTGGATTGTTGTAGCTTATTATGATATGATGATACAAAGGCATAATTTTTTATATTTCATTTGGAAATAATTTCAAATTTATAATAAGTTGCAAAAATAATACAAAGAACACACATATACCTTTTACCTAGGTTCACCTATTATTAACATTTTATCTCATCTTCTTACATACATCATGGCTCTTTACCCCTAAGTACTTCAGTGTATATTACCTCAGAGAAGTACTCTTATATAACTGTAGTGCAGTCAACTTCATAAATTTACACTGATGTAATGTTTTTATGTAATTTATTGCCCATATTCCCATTCTTCCCATTGACTTTGTAAAGTCAACGTTATAAGCACTTTTCCCCCTCCAGGGAAGGATCCAGTCTAGGGTTGTTTACTTGTCATGTCTCTAGCTTCTTTTAATTTGGAATGCTTCCATAGCTTCTCTTTGTTTTTTTATGACATTTCTGAAGAATAAAGTCCCACTCAATCCCCCTTTTAAAAGTAGAACATCCCTCATTTTATGTTTTTCTAATGTTTTCATGGGATTAGATTGGTGTTATACATGACTGGAGTACTGTATAGGTGATGGTCTGTCCTTAGGGTATCACAGCTGGAGGCATACAATGTCCATCTGTCACTCATTGGTGAGGTTAATTTTGATCACCCAGTCAAGATGTTGTCTGGTTTCTCTGCTGTATAATGACTGTTTTTTTCCCTCTTGCAACTAACAGTCTGTGGGACACACTCTTAAGAGCCTGCAAATAACTGCTTTTCATCAACATGCCCCCTAGATTTAGTACCCACTGATGATTTTTACCTAACCCAGCCTTTATGGTGATTTTTCCAGCTGTAGCTCTTGCTCCCCATTTACCAATCTGCCCTTGGCATTCTATAAGCAGAGCCTTCCCTTCTTCTCTGTTTATTATTAATATAGACTTATGAATTTTTATTTTTCAGTGGTTTGTTGTTCATTATTATATTATTTTGGTGTTCAAATTGTCCCAGATTTGGCCACTAGGTTCCCCTTGAATCTGATTATTGTGTCTTTGTGACATACTCTCATCATTTTTTTGAGCATTTTCGTTCCAGCATAACAGGATGTCTCAGACTCATCATGTGCCTATTTTTATCTCAGACAGGGAGTCAACTGTCTTTCCGAAGAGTTCCTGCTCCTTTGAGTGGGGAATAGTACTAGAGACCAAGATCTCAGTGCTAGGTGTGCTACTGGGGTATCTGCTTTTTCTGCCCTTTCTGTAGACAGAGTTAGGAAATATCTGGATGTAATACATATATTTGTTGTTCTTTTAGTCACTAATTCATGTCCAACTCTTTGTGACGCCATGGACTGTAGCCCGCCAGGCTTCTCTGTCCATGGGATTCTCCAGGCAAGAAAACTGGAGTGGGTTTCCATTTCCTTCTCCAGGGGATCTTCCTGACCCAGGGATGAAACTTGGACTCCTGCATTGGCAGGCGGATTCTTTACTGCTGAGCCACCAGGGAAGCCCACATATACATTATACATACACACATATCTGTACTTAAAGATATATATACACACATATATCTATATATACAAGTAACACACACTCTTATATATTCAGATGTGTATATACATATACCTGTGTAAGAAATCATGCGTCTACACATCTCCCATTCCAATGCACAGGATTCTTTCTTATATTCCTCAATCCATAGTTGTATGTTCCTTCTTTACAGTGAGAACCATGGTTCCCAAGATCATCAACATATTTACTCAATACTATAATACATCTAAAAGTTTCAGAATTACTTCTTCCACACTACCATAATAAACACACCTATTAAAAAGAGTTCCAGATTTGTGATATTCCCTACCACCCCACAAACTCATCCTGATTGAGGATGTATATACTGAGGGTATATAGCCTGTGTTTACTTGGATTAGCTGTTTCTTGTATTTTCTTCTGTTTTCTTTCTTTTGTCCTTCAGTGTGGTTATGGTATTTATTTGGAATATAATTAGATTCAATTTGTTTTATTTTAGAGGCATAACCTTTAAAGTGATTTTTTGTTAATGTTATTTACAGTCCTGTGATTTCTTCTACTATTTAATAGAATTAGTCATGATTAGAGTTTTTGGTGGAGCTCCCCAGAGCCCCATGTTAAATAAATATCCCCCCAGTGAGATGGGATAGATGTATCACAGATGGTGATGTGTTAGAGGTCTTCCCTGAAACGCTAGTTGATCTTGGCATTCTCAGGCAGCAAAGCCAGTTATATGGTCTTTTTCCCCCCTCTGAATGTCTTATGGGGTCAAAATGGAATGGGACTTTTACAAAATATCTTTTTGGGAATTTGTCAACCAGTATGGAGATCAACACTATATCCTATGTATTTTGAAATCACTGAGGGCTGCTATTTAGCTGATATGTACCAGGACTACTGTACTGCTAGCTTCCATCATGATTAGTTGGCACCAGTACCATACTGGTTGAGAGATATTTTGATTGGTGTTTCTGAAAACACTCAAACAAGGTGTCCAGGGTGAGGACATAGGTCAGGACTTGCTTATAAGAACCACTTTTTGAGTAATTTAAGGTGTTCTCTCTCCATTTCCTCATTTCCTTGCTTCCTTCTCCTGACCAACCCCCGCCCCCCACCTTTTTTTTTAAGGCTCCTCAAAGTCAACCTGTCCAGCCCAAGAAGGAAGCCAATAATGAGTTTGTTAAAGATACTTCCAAGAAGAGAAACAGGAACACATCTGCTAATAGGTTGCCTGAAAACAATAAGATGAATATAAAAAGGTGAGTAGAGGGAACTCAGATGGCATTACTTTAGATGGTAAAGGAGAGGGAGTGACATCCTTTCGACTGCCTTTTGTCCCCATTGAGAACATTGTTAGTGAGCCACAGTGATCAGTACTATATTAACCCTGGGCGCTTAGATGGTCTAAGTTGCTCAAGAATTCTAGGCCTCTTGTCTCTCCCTCCCTCTGCCCCTCACCCCCATGTTGTGTGCATATTGAAAGAGCTGTTGTCATTGAGGAATTTGCCAAGAGATCTTGTGTTCATATTTTCTCTCTTTTGGTGATTCAGTTCCTGACTGAGCAAGTCTGGGCTCGTGAGCATGGAGCCAATTTTCAGGGGATTCTCAGCAGCTGATTAATAGCTTGCCAGTCTGCTTATCCCATAAGAAGCCTTAGGGGGAGGCTTGTTTCTTGTTACTCTAGAGAAAGTACTGTCTCCTTAGGCCAAAAATGTGTGTTTTCCAGCTGTTTTTAGGGAACTGATCACAGGTTCTGCAAGTAGATATGCGTATTCTCACCTAGGATTTGGGAAAAGGATTTACTCCTAGGAAAACTTTTTTTTTCCATTTATTTTTATTAGTTGGATGCTAATTACTTTACAACATTGCAGTGGTTTTTGTCATACATTGAAATGAATTAGCCATGGATACTCTTAGGAAAACTTTTATTGGAAGAAGAGTTAGAAAGTGGAGTAAGACCTTTCTATATCCTCTCCTCATTCCAGTGGGAATTACTTCTTTTAGGAAGAATAGATTTCCCAGTCCCCCTTTCTATCTTCCTCCCCACTGCTTCCCAGCTCCAAACACCCACCAGTCTACTATCTGTTATGGATATACCTCTGTGGATATGTCTCCTCTAGATGTTTCATATAAATGGAATCATATAGTATCTAGTTTTTTTGAGGTACTCTTGTTCAGATAGATCGTATTTACCAATAATTATCTTTTCTTGTTCTGATTTCTAGTCATCCAGTGATTTGGTCACACCAGGTTAATCATTCTAATTGAAGTGCAGTCCTATTCAAAACAAAGCTTTGCATCTAACACATGTCAACAAATGTTTATTTTGGTCTTTTTATTACCTTCACTGGGAAAGCATCTTGTGAATAGCCTAAGGTGAAAGGAATATGATTAGATACCATGAACATTAAGTACCAGACCAACTTTCTCTTATAAGCTTTCATAAGCCTTTTATAAGCCTCTCTCTTATAATCCTCTCTCATAAGCCTTCAAACAATATTAATTTCAATCTGAGTTTCACCAGATGCCTAGTGCTGATTGACAAAGACAAATGCAGCTAGTGAGAGAGACTGATACATAAGCAAATCACTCATACAATGTGCTAAGTATTATAGTAAAAGCCTTTTTATATAAATAAAGGTAATAAGTCATATATGAAAAAGCAAGATAAGGATTTCAGGGGGAATTTTTTTAGAAAAGTGTGAGGACCTAGATCATAGAAAGTATACACTATGCTACTTAGTAGATTTACTATGTTACCCATTGATTTTTACCCTCTAGTCTGTCTCTTAGGGTTGCAGTCCTTTCCCTTTCCATACATTTAGTAAGTGTAGTGACAAAATGAAATGATAGGTAAGGATTCTAGGAACTGCATTCTTCTCACCCAGACATTGTTTCCTTTGCAGATATGATGTAGAGCTCTCACCAGTAGTAGTCTTAACCACCATGGTGCCAAACAGTATAGATAATCTGCTCACCCTTGATATGTCTACCAGCTCTAAGACACCCAATACTGAGGAAGCATCTCTTTTCAAAAAGCCATTCGTTTTAAAAGAGGAACCCACTTCTGAGGATGCAGTCCTCATGAAGAGGTCATTATCTTCAAAGAAGTGCACAAATCAGGGGGTAATGTCCCTCTTGCAGAAGCCACTGTCCTTGCAGGGGAAGAGTGACAGTGATGTTGTACAGCCAATGACTTTTGGGAAGAAGCGTAAAACCAAGGAGGCAGCCATCACCAACAGAACATTATCTTTAAAGAATGCGTGCCGATATCAGGGAAAGCAGTCCTGCTCGGGGGAAGAGTTGGCTTTGCAGGATGTCAGTGTTGAAGAGGATTCTTCCTTTATGGAGCTCCAGAATGTTAGGAAGAAGCCTAAAACTGAGGAAGCAACCTCCACCAACCCATTATCATCTTTAAAGAAAGAGTGTACCACTCAGAGGAAGATGTCCTATAGGAAGAATCTTCTAGTACTGCAGAAGACCACCTCTGAAGAAAAGCCACTCACTAAGGAGTCTTTTAAGAGAAAGCCTACTGCTGAGGAGTCCTTTTTCCAGGAACCACCTGCATTGCAAGAGAAGCACACCTCTGAACAAGAATTATCCATCTTGAAGAAATCATTGGCCTTTCAGGAGAAGATTGGCACTGAAGAGAAATCTCTTTTTAAGGAACCATTGGCTTTTAAGAAGCAATCTACCACTGAGGAGACAACCTTCACCACGAAGCCATTACCTTTAAAGAAAAAGTGCACTACTCAGAGTAAGAGGAAGATGACCTACTTGAAGAAGCCATTAGTATTGAAGAAGACCACCTCTGGAGAGAAGGCACTCATTAGCCAGTTCCTCTCCTTTGAAAAGAAGCCTACCTCTAACGAGGAGTCCCTCTTCCAGGACCTCTCAGTGTTGGAAGAGAAGCATACCACTGATGGAGCAGTGACACTTTTGAAGAAGCCATCGGCATTGCAGAAGGAAGATGGTGAAGATGATTTTCTTATGGAGCCACTTTCCTTTAGGAAGACTCATACTACTAAGGAGGCAACACTTCCCAAGAAGCCACTAATTTTAAAGAGGAAGCATACTACTCAGGGGAAGATGTACCACTTGAAGAAGCCACTAGTATTGCAGAAGGTCACATCTGAAGAGAAGTCACTCGTTAAGGAGCCATTACCCTTTAAGAAGCCACCTACCGCTAAGGAATCCCTTTTCCAAGAGCCATCAGCATTGCAGGAGAAGCACACCATTCTAGAGGAGGCATCCATCTTGAAGAAGCCCTTGGTCTTGCAAAAGACTCCAACTGAGGAGGAATCACTTAAAAAGGAGACTTTGACTTTTAAGAAGTTTACCATTGGGGAGGCAACCTCCGCCAATATGCTGTTATCTTTAAAGAAGAAGTGTACCACTCAGGGTAAGTCCTGTTTGACCAAGCCACTAGTATTGCAGACCATTTCTGAAGAGAAATCACTCATTAAGGAGCCTACCATTGAGGTGGAGTCCCTCTTGAAGGAACCTTCTGCACTGCAAGAGGAGCACACCACTCAGGGGGATGTGGCCCCCTTGAAAAAGCCATGGGCATTACAGGAGAGAATAGATAGTAAAGATGAATTCCTTATGGAGTCACTGTCATTTAGGAAGACACATATCACAAATGTAGCAGTCTCTACCGAGGAGTCATTATCTGTAACGAAGCAAACATGTGCCACTCCAATAATAATGTCTATCTGCCAAGAACTGTTGGATTTGCAGAATATGATTGCTGAAGGTAAGAATTCCTTTATGATGCCAGTATCAGGTAGGAAGAAGTCTTCAACTGATGAGGCAGTTCTTACCAAGACACCATTATCTCCAAATATGAGGCAAATCACTCAGTGGAACACGGTCATAGAGAAAACCACCTCTGAAGAGAAGTCACTCTTTAAGAAGTCGTTGCCCTTAAAAAGAAAGTCTACAACGGAAGAGGGGCTCCTCTTCCAGGATCCATCTGTATTGAAAGAGAAACACACCTCTCTGCAACAAGCGTCCCTCTCAAAGGAGCCATTGACCTTACAGGAGAATATCGCCACTAAAGAACAATCATATATCAAGGAACTGTTGACCATGGAGAAGTCCTTGGTCTTGGAGAAGACTGATACCAAAGTGGACTTCTTGAAGATGCCGTTGGCTTTGCAGAACAAAAGCACCACTGAAGAGAAATTCTTTTTTGAGAAACCATTGGTTCTGAAGGAAAAGCTCTCCCCTGAGGCAGCAGCCAGCATAGAGGGACAATCATCTTTTAAGAAGCAGCCCACTGCTCAGGGAGAGGTGTTCCTCTTGAAAGAGCAGTTGACCTTGCAAGAGAACATCACCAGTGAAGAGGAGTGCATTATTAAGCAGCCACAGGCCTTGCAGGAGAAGCCCAGCATTGAAAAGGACACCATCCTGAGGGAGTCCTTGGCCTTGCAGGAGAATTCCGCGATTGAGAAGGAGGCTGTCTGGAAGGAGCCATTGGTCTTGCAAAAGACTATCACTCACAAAGAAGACACCTTTCTCCAAGATTTCACCCTCCAAATTGAAACCAGCCCAGATGCCACCCCTGAATCTGGAACAGGCTTGTCCAACACCATCATCATGTCGTGCAGTACCATAAGCAAGTCCAGTACTTGTGAATCCAATTCCAGTAAACCTTTCTCATCTGGTGACAAGAGATCACAGCAGGAGGTATTCTGCTTTCTTTCTTCTTAAATTAGATGAAGTGTTCTTTGTTGTCCTGGAGGTTGCTGCTAGCAAAGAGATTTTTTTTGCCTTCCTAAGCAATTGAGTTGTATATAGTAAGTGATATTAAACCAAACTGGCCTTGTAGAATCTCTTGACTTCATGATTGGCATAGTGATATACCTGAGCCATTAGAAAGTATTTATTCCAGGGACACCCTCAAGGGTCTGGAATACTCTGTGTGTATGTATTTCAGTAGTGGTTAGACAATTTCGGGAATTTGCCTTTCTTAGTAATTGCAATCTGCATTACATAGTACCTTAGCTAAAGATGAGTTAAATTCACAGAGGCATCTTCTAAGGAAGATGGTTTATAAGTTGTAAATTAGAAGGAAAATGAGATGAGATTTAGTACTTGGGAAGAGAAACAACCTGGATGTAGGCAAAATAACCCAGTTAAAGGTATAGAAGGGAGGAAAAGGCTAACAAAAAGATGAACTGGGCTCAATCAAAGCATTGAAACGTAACAGGTGACATAAGCTGGAAGATTGTAAGATCACAATGTCTCTCTTGGAGAATCTTGTGCTTACCTGTAATAATAGTGCCTGGTTCTTAGGGCAGAGCAGGTATGTACAAGGATTAAGTATTTCTTGGTTACTTAACAGTATGAGGATTACAGGGCAAAGACTTGAGCTGAAGATAAAAGTGGGAAGAAAGGAGTAATTTTTTATGTGTGTGTAAGCTTCTCTTGGAATCTTTCTCCTAATATGTCTTTTTGATGATTTCCAAGCAGGTGACCCCACTGGGGGATACTGACATAGACTGCAGTGATCCATTTTTCAGCTCAGTATATGCTAAGGATATCTTCAGTTACATGAAGAAAAGAGAGGTATGTAGGGGATGGGGGTGAGGGGAAATGATTTTCCAGTTCTCATTTCCTTGCCATACATCCTTCAAATGCAACTTTAAAGGGGAGATAATAATGATGAGGAAAATAATAACAGTAGCAACTGATGTCTTCTGGTAGCATACTATGAGTTAAACATTGTGCTAAAGGATTTATGAACATTATCTTGTTTAATTCTCCCAATAGCTTCATGATGGTAGGTATTATTATCTCCTTTTTATAGTTGGGGGAAACTGCTCAGTCAAAACAGCTAGTGTGTGGTAGATCTGGGATATGAACTAAAGTCTGATTACCTTAGAAACCATAAGCCTGCACCTCTAATTGCTTAGGAGGTAATCTCAGACACAAAAATTGTCAAGCAGGCCCTTTCTGAGTGACTGCTTTTAGAGATCTTTCCCCTTCTCTATGTAGTTTTCTGGCATTGCATATAAAACCAGACTCTCTGTTCCAGCTCTCCAACCTGGTAAAATTTTCTTTCTCCTTTCAAATCTGCCAGTCTCCTTTACCACTAATGTTCATCAATTCCAAATTTTCTTATCTCTCTCAGTGGAACAGATGGGACTAGGGTTATGTACTAACTAGAATTTTAGCAGGCCATTCATAAGAGGAATGATGAATGTCTCATCTTCTCTCTAGAGACGTGGTAATAGATGAACTGACTCCAGAGCCTGTACTTTGTCTAGTATATCTTGGAAGAAGCAAGAGATAATTTTGCTATACTAAAAGTGTGGGCCTTAGCTCAGCAGTATTGGTTTCACTTAAAATCTTGTTAGAAATGCAGAAACCCAGACTTTCTAAATTTTAAATATCCTCAAGTATCTTTCAAATATGTATGTTAAAGTTTGAGAAGGACTCCTCTATACAGAATGGTATTGTGCTTTTGATTGAATTGCAAAGAAGGGGCAGAATCTTGTTGGTATTCATCTATAGTCATAGATGTATTCCTGCCTATATTTCATATTCTGCTAGACACCTCAATATCCACCCTGACACTTGAATATCATGTGTGTTCATTTCCCAAGGATAACTGACCTTGTCTGGGAAAAGATACTTTGCTCTGCCTCTATCTGATACCAGCTAAAAATAATTAGTTAGAACTGTGAAGAAATTACTTATGTTAAGTTATAATTTGTTTTTAGATATTGCATATAGTTTTTCCTAAGTTATAATTTTGAACTACAAGAAGAGTTTATCTGTTAATATTTCTTTCTTACTGCCAGGAAAAGTTTATACTTAAAAAATATATGACCAGGCAGACTGATATCAACAGTAACATGAGGGCCATTCTTGTGGACTGGTTGGTGGAGGTGCAGGTAAGCCTGACAACTGCTGCCTTAAGGGGCTGCTATTCTCTTTATTGATTATTCACTCAGCATTGCCAGGTCTCAAACACAGTAAAAATTTACTCGGTCTCCAGTGCTGAATAAGCCAGGATTCCTGCCCTCAGAAAGCTTATAACCTAGAGGGCAAGATAAGACTTGGCAGGTAGAGAAGAATAATGCAAAGTAGAATATACTAAGTAATATAAGAATGCTGTTAATAAGACACTGTGAGAACCCAGTGGAAGGAGAGAGATTTCTAGAAATGGTAATCATGCTATGGTAGTTCAGTCATTTTCAAAATCTTGTAGAAGTATACGTAATGATTGGATAAGGGTCAGTAACAAAGTCTTTCAAGCTTTGGATGGGATGAGTAAATAGGAAGGACAGTATAGCCCCAAACAGGGCAGATGGCTGTTTGTTCAGAGTTAGCTGTTGAGGGAATATTGTTGTGAATACTTAATTATTACTTTACACTAATGAAGGTGTAATAGTACCTGGATGTTGTAGGTGTCAGTGAATATTTGCTGAATGAATAGAATTGAAGGGGTTTCTCTGGAGTTTGCAAGGAAATAAAAGGCATAGTCTGTGCTCAGCAGAAGAAAAGGTAATATTGTTAAATATCCTTTAAATACCAGAGTAATGGTTCAGGCTCACTTTGGAGTGACAAACCAGGGAAATGTGGTAGACATGGTATATTTGAACATCAGCAAAGCATGAAAATGTCATTCTATGGAAATGATGAAAAATAGTAAATTAGATAAAATAGAATCTGAATAAATCTTAAATAAGTAAAATTGATCACAAATATTGCTGATCATTACCAAACAAGAAACAGATTTCTAGTAGACTGTCAGTGGACTTTGTTTTGATCAACATTTTTTATAAATGATATAGATGAGAACAGAGAAGATCATCTCATCGAATTCACAGATGGCATGAAACTAGGAGTAGTTATTTGTTGTTGTTTAGTTGCTGAGTCATGTCTGACTCTTTACAGATACCAGCTGGAATGAAGAACTGAATTTTTTTAAAAAAGTTTTTGTTATTTTTATTGCACAAAAATTCACATTTATTATAGCCAAGTAAGAAATTATAATTACTTATGATCCCACAACCTACAGAGTGTTAATATTCATATGTGTTTATTATCCCCCCATTTTTAAAATGCTACACTGATCACAGAGTCAGATGCCCAGGTCCTGTCTGAGACTTATCATATATTTTTTAAGTTCCATAAGCCATGCTAATGTTACCTTTGGTAGAGAATCACAGTTGTAGAAAATGTGTTCCTATATATATTATTTTTTGTAACTTTAATTTTTATATCTTAAAATAATTAGTAAAATTGACTTTTGGTATACAGTTCTATGAAATTTTAACATTTTGAAATAATAGATTCACAAAAAGTTACCAAAAAAATTAGTAGGTAGAGAGGTCTTGTGTACCCTTCACCTGGTTTCTCTCAGTGGTAACATTTTGCATAACTGTCATATAATATCACAGTCAAGGTCCAGAGGTTTTATTTATATTTTACCAGTTTACATGCTCTTATTTGTGTGTGCGTGTTTAGCCTATATAATTTTATCATGCATGTAAGTTTCATAAGCACCATACCACAGTTAAGATACAAAATTGTTCCATCACCAGAATGATCCCTTGTTTTACTCTTTTATAGCCACAACCATCTCCCTCCCCTCACCTTCCTGTCCCTGGAAACTTCTAATTTGCTTTCCATTTCAGTAATTTTGTGATTTCAGGAATGTTATATAAATGGAATCATATACTGTGTAACCTTTTGGGATTGACTTATCACTTAGCATAATTCCTTTGAGATCTATACAAGTTGTGTGTATCAACAGTTCATTCCTTTTCATTGCTGAGTAGTAGTCCATGGTATGGATGTTCCAAGGTTTGTTTAAACCTTCCCCCATTAAAGGACATTTTGAGTTGTTTCCAGTTTCTGAGATTGTGAGAAGAATGTCTATAAACATTAATGCACAGGGTTTTATGTCAATATGTTTTTATTTCCAACATTAACACCCAGGAGTGGGATTTCTGGGTCATATGATAAGTGTATGTTTAATTTAATGAGAAGGTGCTACGGGGTGACTATCATTTTGCATTCTTAACTGCAGTATATGAGAGTTCTAGCTGCTCTGCATCCTTGTTAGCACTTAGTATTGCTCGTTTTTAAACTTTGGCCATATAGATGTATAGAGGAATCTCACCATAGTTCTAATTTGTGTTTCCTCAAGGGCTAATAATGTTGAACATACTTACCTGTTTGTATGAAGTCGTCTTTGATGAAATGTCTATATATTTTGCCCAGTTTTAAATTGGATAGTTTATTTTCTTTGTGTCAACTTATAAGAGTTCCTTATATGTTCTGGTTACAAATCCTTTGTTGGATGTGTAATTTACAAATATATCCCACCAGTTTTTTTTTTTTATTATCTGTGTCTTTCATAGAGCAAAAGTTTTTAATTTTTATAAAGTTCAATTTTTCTATGTTATCTATGCTTAGTCGCTCAGTCATGTCTAACTCTTTGCAACCCTATGGACTGTAGCCCGCCAGGATCCTTGGTCCATGGGGATTCTCCAGTCAAGAATACTGGAGTGGGTTGCCATGCCCTCCTCCAGGGGATCTTTCCAACCTAGGGATTGAACACAAGTCTCCCACATTGTGGGCGGATTCTTTACCATGTGAGCCACCAGAGAAGCCTTGTGCTTTTTGTGTCATGTTTAAGAACTCTGCTTAAACCTAGGTCATGAAATTTTCTCCTATATTTTGCATGAATGTTTTAAAGCTTTAACATTAAATCTATAATCCATTTTGAGTTGAATTTCTATAAGGTATAAAGGTTTTGAAGTCAGTTCATTGTCTTGCATATGGTTGTTAACTGTTCTAACACCTTTTGTGGAAAAATATACTTCTCCACTGAATTGCTTTTGGACCTTTGCCAAAAAAACAATTTGCCTTATTTGTGTGGGCCTATTTCTGTATTTATTTCTACATTCTGTTTCATTGATCTGTGTGTCTTTCTCTTTGCCAACATCACAGTCTTTATTTCTGTAGTTTTATAATATTAAAACTAGGTAATGTGATTTTTCCAACTCTAGACTGTTTTTTTTTTTTTCAAAATTGTTTTAACCCCACTTAGTTTTGGAATATCATTCTTATGTATTTCTGGATTACATTTGCTAATATTTTGTTGAGGATTATTGCATCTATGTTTATGATGGATGTTGGTCTGTAGTGTTTTTTTCTGTTTTTTGGTACTGACTTTCTGGTTTTGGTATGAGAATGATACTGGTTTTATGAAATGATTTGGAAAGTATTTTATTTTCTTGAAGACATGTGTAGAATTGATGTTTTATTCTTTCAATGTTTAGTAGGATTCACAAGTAAAACCATCCGGCCCTGAAGGTTTTTCTTTTCTCTGAAGAATTTTATCTAAGAATATAATTTCTTTAATAGTTATGTGATTATTCAAGTTATTATATCAGATGACTTTTGGAAGTTTGTGATTTTCAAGGAATTGGTCCTTTCATTTAAGTTGTTGAATTTATGTTCATAGCATTTGCTGATTATTTAGTTGTTCATCCTTGATATTTAGTAATTTGTGTCTTGTCTCTCTTTATCAATCTTGCTCAGAGTTTATCATTTTTATTGATCTTTTCAAAGAACCAGATTTTGGTTTCATTTGTTTTCTCTATTTTTCTATTATCAGTTTGACTGATATCTGCTTTAGTTTTAACAGTTTCCTTTCTCTTGCTTTGGATTTAATTTGTTCTTCTTTTCCTAGTTTGAGGTAGAAGAGTAGATTATTGATTTCAGACTTCTTTTCTTCTTTAAAAATATTTATTTATTTATTTAATTTTTTGGTAGTGCTGTGTCTTTGATGTTGCACAGGCTTTCTCTAGTTGCAGTGAGCAGGGGCTACTCTCTAGTTGTGGTGCATTGGTTTTTCATTGTGGGGGTTTCTTTTGTTGTGGAGCACAAGCTCTAGGGCAAGTGGATTCAGTAGTTGTGACACACTGGTTTACTTGCCCCGTGGCATGTGGGATATTACCAGACCATGGATCAAACCCATGCCCCCCGCATTGGCAGGCCAATTCTTAACCACTGGACCACCAGGATGTCCTAGGACTTTTCTTCTTTTCTAATATAAGCACCTAATTGCTATAATTTCTCCTTAAGTACCACTTTTAACTGCTTGAACTATTTAGAAGTTTGTTTAATCTCTAAGTGTTTGGAGATTTCACTATTATTTTTCTGGTATCGATTTGTAGTTTAATTCCACTGTGATCAAAGAAAACAGTTTGTATGATTTTTAATTATTTTAAAAAAATTTAAGGTTTATTGTTCAGGATATGGTCTGTCTTGGTGAATGTTACATGTGCACTTGAGAAGAATGTATATCCTGCTGTATTGGATGGAGTGAGTGTTCTATAAAATGTCAGTTAGATTCAGTTGGTTCATGTTGTTAATTTCCTTATTATTTTTGCTGATTTTTCCATGAACTAATTCTGTTACTGTGAGAAGAGTATTGAAGTTTTCAACTATGATTATGAATTTGTCTATTTCTCTTTTCAGTTTTGTCACTTTTTTTCTTTGTGTATTTTGAAAATCTGTTGTTTGGAGCATATTAGCATATATTTTTAGGATTGTCATGACCTCTTCATAGTTTTTTATGACTTGCTTTTTTTTTCCTCATGTAACAATGCTCATGTAATTGCAAATATCTTTCTAGTTAAATTGACATTTCTACATCAGTTTGTCAACTATGTAGTATTCTGTTTTCCCATCTAAGTACTAACCAGGCCCAACCCTGCTCAGCTTCCAAGTTCAGATGAGATTGGGTGCATTCAGGGTGGTATGGCCTTAGACTGTAGTATTCTATTCTTTAACTGGAATTATTTACTCAGCCTCCTATTAATGGACATATAGGTTATTTCCAGTAACCCTGTAGTGAACATGCATATATTTG